TTTCTAGGCAATAATGAAGATTGTAAGGAGAAATTCATAACTAAGTTTATTAAGTTAATAAATATCACTTTACAGAAGTTGTTAGGTTCATGTATATAATATATACCACTACATATCAATGTTCAAGGCCTTTTTTTTCTGCTTTTGTTCTCATTTTTTGAGTTCTCATGTCTCACTTTAGAGTTTTCATAATAAACCTATTATGTGTTATCAGGGTCAGTTGTCTTTCTTTAGTAATACCAGCATTCCCAGAGAAGAAAAGGAATTCTTTTTTTTTTTTTTTTTTAAATATTTTATTTATTTCTAGGAGAGAGAGAGAGACAGCGTGAGCAGGGGAGGGTCAGAGAGAGAGGGAGTCACAGACTGAAACAGGCTCCAGGCTCTGAGCTGGCAGTCAGCACAGAGCCCGACGCGGGGCTCGAACCCACGAACCGCGAGATCATGCCCTAAGCGAAAGTCGGACGCTTAACCGACTAAGCCACCCAGGCGCCCCGAAAAGGAATTCTTAAATTGAAGGAGTAGCAAAATTTTGGGGTGAGGAAGGATGAAGAAGGTAGCATGGTCATGACTGGCTGGGTGCTGCAATACCCTTTAAAAATATATATTTATTTTTGGGAGAGGGAGAGTGAAAGAATGTGCACTTGTGAGTGGGGAAGGGGCAGAGAGAGAGAGGGAGAGAGAAAATCCTAAGTAGCCTCTGCTCTGTCACAACAGATCCTGACTCAAGGCTTGATCCTATGAACTGTGAGATCATGGCCTGAGCAGAGATCGAGTCAGACACTCAACCCACTGAGTCACCCAGGTGCCACCAATACCCTGTCTTTTATCTGCAATTCCAAAATCTGAAGAGCTTGGAAAACAAAGTATTTTCTTGAATTTAGTGTAAACTTAACCTCATCTAAAGGTAATAGTCTTTATCCCACTTAATGTGAAATCTGTTTCACTGCAAAATACCTGTGTATTGGATTTAACACCTGTGCAGGAGGGTGAGGGATGGTTACATAATATATGCACCACACTACTGTTTTTTTCTATATGTTATATATATATACTTATTATTTTTATTTACATCCAGGTTAGCATATAGTGCAACAGTGACTTAAGGAGTAGAATCCAGTGCTCAACCCAACAAGTGTCCTCCTTAATGGCTCTTGCCCAGTTAGCCCATCCTCCCATCCCCAACCTCTTTAGCAACTCTGTTTGTTCTCTGTATTTGAGAGTCTCTTATGTTTTGCCCCCCTCCCTGTTTTCATTTTATTTTGTTTGTTTATTTTTGAGAGAGAGAGACACACACAGAGTGCGAGCAGGGGAGGGGCAGAGACAGAGGGAGACACAGAATCTGAAGCAGGCTCCAGGCTCTGAGCTGTCAGCACATAACCCAATGCAGGGCTCAAACCCATGAGCCATGAGATCATGACCTAAGCTGAAGTCAGACGCTTAACCAACTGAGCTATGCAGGCTCCCCTGTTTCTATATTATTTTTGCTTCCCTTCTCTTATGTTACTTTGTTTTGTATCTTAAATTCCACATATGAATGAAGTCATACGGTATGTCTTTCCCTGACTGATTTTACTTAGCATAATACACTCTATCCATCCATGTTGTTGCACATGGCAAGATTTCATTCTTTTTGATTGCCGAGTAATACTCCATTCACACTACTGTTTTTCTAAAATCCAAAAATTTTGCATTCTGAAATGTCTGGTTACAGAGATCAAGGATTATGGACAAAAATCAAGAAGGTGATTTTTTTTTTTTTTTGACTGAGCCACCCAGGTGCCCCATAATAACAGCTTTATTAAGATATAATACACATGCCATATAGTTCACCCATCTAAACAATACAGTTCAGTGATTTTCAATGCATTTAGAGTTATTCAGCCATCGGCACTATCACATTTCACCACCTCCAAAAAAACCCTTATACTCATTAGAAATGACTCACCATTTCCCATCAATCCCTCAGCCCTAGGCTGCCACCTGTTTACTTTCTTTCTATGGATTTGCCTATTCTGGACATTTCATATAAATGGAATCATATGTGATTTTTTTGTGATCAGCTTCTTTTACTTAGCCTAATGTTTTTAGGATTGAGCCATGTCATAACCTGTATCAGTACTTTTTATTGTTGAATAATACTCTGTGTTTATATGTATATTACATTTTATTTATCCATCAGTTGATAGACATTTGGGTTGTTTCCACTTTCTGGTTATTAGAAATGATGCTGCTGTGAAGATTGGTTTACAAATTTTGTGTGGACATATGTTTTCAGTTATAGTGGGTATACACCTAGTGGTGGATCATATGATAACTGGTCATACAATAGTGGGTCATATGGGAACTCTAAGCTTTTGAAGAAGACTATTGTCCACAGGACTGCACCATTTTACATTCTTGTCAGCAGTGTGTAAGGGCCCTAATTTCTCCATACCCACATCAACTCTTGTTTTGCTTTTGTTTTTGTTTTGATAGCCATCCTGGTGGTTGTGAAGTGGTATATATCATTGTTGTTTTGATTTGCATTTCTCTGATGACTAATGATGTTGAACATCTTTTCATTACCAGCCATTTGTTATATATTCTTTGGAGAACTGTTTGTTCAGAGCTTTTGCTTTTTTTTTTTTTTTTTTTATAAATAGTTTATTGTCAATTTGGTTTAAGAAGGTGATTTTAAAAGTGCTTTTCTCTTGTCTCTTACTTGCATTATCCACAGGTTTATGTAGGAAAATGGGAAATTATGCTGAACTTGATGCCAAGAAAGTTTCCCAATTTCCGCCATCTACTTCATCTTTTTAAGGAACACTTTTAAGCTTTGAGGAACGCAAGTTCTCACAGCCAGAAACTGGCAGAGCTGAAATTTGAAACTAGTCTTTAATTTTCCACTGCTTATGCCTCTCAATCATTGCACTATACTACTTTTCTTGTGTGTCTTTTGTGGAAACCATACTTGATTATTTCTGCTCAACTCTAAACATCTTTATCAGATCCATATGGGATTCATTATTCTTCTTCATCTACTTTCCTCCTGTTTGAAGGTTTCAGAGACTAACCCTGCCTTACCTCTCTCCGTATCTCCCAATACCTTTACCATTTCATGGGTTTTCCCCCACTTTTGGATGTGGAATATAACACCTAGTGGCTTCCCCAGATTCCTTTCCATCCCTGATGACAAGCATTCAGCCTTTTTTCATTTCAAGGATCCTGCTGCTAATTACTATGGGGATAAACAAAAGTAATAAACATAAAATAATAAAACAATTATAAGGAAGTTAATGATTTTTGCCGTTTTTATCCTAGAGTTCCCCATGGATTCACATTTTGATTTCTGCCTTTTCTTAGAATGGATTCACCATTTACACCCCTTCTGACTCTAGCATTGGATGCATTTCAGGTGGTTATTTCAAGATAACAGAGTAATAGGGCGTTTGGTTTCTATAGACCATTTGAGCTCAGGAACTTCTAAATGGGGTAGTGCCAGTTTACCGGATCTTTACCAAGATTAAAAACAAATTCTGAGTGGGGCGCCTGGGTGGCTCAGTCGGTTAAGCGTCCGACTTCGGCTCAGGTCATGATCTCACGGTTGGTGGGTTCGAGCCCCGCTTCGGGCTCTGTGCTGACAGCTCAGAGCCTGGAGCCTGTTTCAGATTCTGTGTCTCCCTCTCTCTGACTCTCTCCTGTTCATGCTGTGTCTCTCTCTCTCTCTCAGATATAAATAAAAACATTAAAAAAAAAATTCTGAGTATTTCTACACTGCATGTGTCCCCATTTAATTAAGTCTTCTAACCGAGTTCATGGCACACAGGTAGGCATTCAAGATTCATTTATTAACTATGTGCCAGGTGTAGGGCATGCAAAATTAAGCTATCTATAGTCATGATGAACAGAAACCTACCCAGTATGGTAATGTTTGCATAGCATTGTAGGGGCAGGAAAATTTTCCCTTCTTCCCTTTTACGTCCTTTGCCTGGTCTAGTAATTAAATTGACACAAGATGGATTAACAGGAGGAAACCAGACTTAACTACGAACATACAGGAACTCCATATAAGAAATTCAAAGGGATAACCAAAGTAAGTCATTGCATCTTTTAGACGAACAATAAATTAGTGAAGAACTGACAAGACAAAGGGGATTGGGTTTGGGGTAATAAATTGGTGAAGAAGTAGAAACGGTTGTTCATAGGCCTTCTCAGCCCTCAATTCCCTATTTGGTGATGAGGCCTTCTCTCCTCCAGCTACAGAGAGGGCACCTTTTACATAGACTCTGCTTTCGGGGGGACAAGGGAGGGGCAGAGAGTATCCTTGCACTCTTTCTCGAGTTTCTGAATTTCGAAATAATCCATATGCCATAGTGGCATTCTGGTGTGGCGTGTTCTCTTTGAGCATAATTGGGGTTTGAGAGATCAGGAAAAGCCTGCCGTGTCGCGGTGTCTGACTACGTAAATTCGCACGCCAGACCATGCCTCACGGCCTTTGAGACTTGGAACAAGTAGCCTCTCAGTGTCTGTTTCCTCGCCGATAAATCGGGCTACTGGTGGGATTTCCTGCACTGCGCTGCGAGTTAATTCAAGAACCGCGCTCGAAACTGCCTGGCACGCAAGAAGAGTGCAACGCATTTCCTGAGGGCTGGGTTGCCCGCCCGCGCTTAGCCTGACCGTTGTCCTCCGACTGGACTACACGGGTAATCCGCTTGGTTTTTCTACCGCACACTGCTTCACAGCAAGTTGTGTTCCAGATGCTCTGTTTATTTCCACATAACCCGCTGGAGAGGCGAAGTCTCCTGAGTCAGGGCCGGCCACTACCGGTGACGAGGGCGGGTGTCACTCACTACCCCGGCTCACCCTCCAGCGTCGGCGCTCGCCCTCAGTCGCACAGGACTCCGGGTCCGGGGAAGAGACGCGCCGTCCCGCCCTGTGCTCCTGCGTGACCCGACGTGCCGGGCGCGCACGCAGGAGCCCCGCCCGCGGTGGCCAAGGCCGAGGGGCCGCTGGAGGCTGGGCCAGCTGGGGAGACGGCGGGGGCGTGGCTTCCCCGCTGGGCGGGCGGCCGCGGCGCAGGCCCGCCCCTGTCGGCCGCTGCCTCCGCGCGCCAAAATCAAACCCGGAGACCCGCAGTCCCTGCAACCTGCTGCTGGCGGGAGCTCAGCCTGCGCGTCTCGTCACGTTCGGCAGTGGCGGGAGCCCCAGCGCGCGCACCTGCGGCCGCCTCCCAGCCTTCCCTGTTGGATGCACTCGGGCCGCCACCGGACCAGAATGGCCACCCCACCTAAGAGGAGCTGCCCATCTCCCGCGACCGGCTCTGAGGGGGCCCGCATCAAGAAGATTGCCATCGAAGGGAACATCGGTAAGGAGGCTCGGGAGATGCTGGTCCCAGAGCACGGGGTTTCCACTTAGTGAGGGCTTCCTTCAGGCCTGGCTGTATGGATGCGGGCACGGCCTCTACCTCCCTTCCCATCGAACGCATTTTGCCCTGTCCTGCCCCGCTTCCCTCCCGTGCCCCCAGGGTCGCGGCGGCCCCCGGGCGTCAGGCGGTGCACGCCCGGGCATGCGGGCCTCGGAAGGTGCCCTTGGGCCCGGTTCCTCCTTTTGTTGGGATCGCGCGAAGGGAAAGCTTTTTTTTTTTTTTTTCTTTTTTTCTTTTGAGACCGTGTTAGTTCTTGAGGTGTCATTTACATACATTAAATTATCCTTTTAGGTGTACTTTTCCATGAGGTATGACACACATAATAATGCTGTTTCACTACCACATGGTCAAGATTCAGTACATTTTTATCCCCTCAAAAAGTTCCTGGTGCTCCTTTGTTGTCGGCTCCCTCCGGGTTCCTGCCTCTTGGCAGCCACTGACTGATCTGGTTTCCAAGTTTTGCCTTTTTCCAGAATGTCCTATAAGTGGAGTCATACAGTATGTAGCCTTTGGGTCTCCCTTCTTTTATTTAGCATAATGCTTTCAGATGTATTCGCGGTCTCCTCTCTTCGAAGAATGAAGAGGTGGACCTAGAATAAAATGAGCAGCAGGTAAAAGTTTATTAGAGCGTAAGATGAGAAAGTACGAATTGCAGGAAAGCTCTGTTTACAGAGAGGGGGCATTTGAAAGTGAAGGCCCAGCCGACTGTAGGCGAGGGTCCTTGTTTTACAGGGTTCTGGTTGGGCCCCCCCTCCCTTGCGTCTAGTTCCTTCTCAGGTACTACCCTTATTGGCTAGGTAACTAAATGCTTAGTCATTCCTTTTTGATTGGCTTGTTTCCATCGTATGAGGGGTGATCTATGGCCATACTGTTCCATGTGGTCGTATGTTCTAAGGTCTACCACTTACTTTTAGTCAGGTCTTTTGTCAGATTCCTGAGGGGAACCCGAGGAGAGTAGACGGTGTCTGTTAGATTTCTTAGAGGATCTCTGTACCCGAGTGAGTCAGCTGTGGTCAGACACTCCCAGCATTGTTTTAAAATATGTGTTTTCCCCCCATCAGATGACCTGCAAGTCTTACTTAGCTTCTCCCTTTCTGCCTACCGAATCCCATCTTCTACTATTATACTTAATATCTGTAGTTCTCTATTGCTGAGTAGTATTCCATTGCATGGATATACCACCGTTTCCCTCTTTCCCAGTTGTGAACATCTGGATGGTTTCCAGTTTTAAGGATTAGGGATAAAACAGCTGTAAACGTTCCAGTACAAGGAAAGAGTTTTTGATGATCTTAGTATTCTGGAGCTCCTCACCCCTTACCCCACTTCCAAGTAAACATTGGCTTATGATTCAAAGACCAGTACTGTTTCTGTTCCTAATCCGGATGAGGGCAGACTGTACTATGCATATCCTTTTGCAAGGTACATCTGAACTTACATTCTTCTTTATTTCCTACCACAGGAAACCTATGCCTGACACTTCCTGTTCTGATAGAATTTTTTTGGCTCCAAGTTGGGTACTGGCCATTCATGCATACAGCAAATGTTTTTTTAATTCTTACCACATTCAAAGTCCTTGTACTTCTTTAAAAAGACAAGGCAAAGTAGATGCTTTAACAGTATTGCAAGTAGTAGAAAATAGTTGAACTCACCCTCAAAGAGGGCATTTTGTCGCATTGCTCCAGTATAAAAGCACTGGTGGAAAAGATCCATATAATAGATTCTCTTTTCCTTTTAGGATAAATTCTTTGAAGTTGAATGTTTACTGGTATGATTCCTCATAGACACTTATTGGATAAAGAAGAACATATATAGAGGAGGAAGTAGTTGAACTAAGCCATTTCAACTGAACAAAATTCATTTCAACTTTGAATGAAAAACACCACCTCATCAATACCACAACAAGTTATTCCTTTTCCCTTTCTTAAATCCAGTTAGGCAATATATTGTATCTAGATCTCCCCAAGCATCGTTAATCTTCCCAGCACCTGAATAATTTGCTAATGTGTCACTCCATCTCCATTTTCTCTTACCTAGCTCCAGAGCTGACTTTCTATATATAAATGTAATTGTGTTATTCCCCTGCTTAAAATTCTTCTCTGACTTCTCCATTATCTACACTGGAAAGAGTTGCAAACTAATGACTTGCATTTGCACAATAGTGGCTTGTGTAGACTTGAAAAAAATTTTATTTAAAAAAATTGTTTTAGAATGTTGGAAATAATTATTTTATTTTTTTAAGTTTGTTTATTTTCAGAGCGAGAGAAAGAGAATGCACTGAGAGAGGGACAGAGAGAGAATCCCAAGTAGGCTCTACACCACCACCATGGAGCTGATGCAGGGCTTGAGCCCATCAATCATGACCTGAGCTGAAATCAAGAGTCAGACGCTTAACCACTGAGCCACTCAGGCGCTTTTGGGAAAAAAAAAACTAATGAATTGCTAGCATTTAAAATTCTTGAGATTTCCTTTTGAACATCTAGATTCTTGGCATCCTGTACAGTATCCAAAGATCTGGTAACACTGGGCTTCTGTTTCTGTAAGATAACAGTTTGCTATTTTGATGGATTGTGTTCCTTACACTTGTCTTCCTGACACTAAGGGTTTGTTGCTGTTAATGTGCTTGCGCTGGTGTTGCTGTCCCTTCCACCTTATTTGCCAATCCCAAATAAGTAGAAATGTACAAATTGCTAATATATATGTAGAAAACTATTTTGTGATTTCTAGAATTTGAACCTTAACTGGTCATTTTAGTTTATACTCCTGTAACTCATCTTCTCATGATTTCTGTTACTATAATACTCACTTGTGTTAGATTTATGGAGGCCTTACCTGCTTTCATATTAATAGTTTGTACAGATGATTTTTGGCATTAGTAATTCTGTTAGGTCCCACATGACTTTTTTTTTTTTTTTAATGTTTTATTTATTTCGAGGAGAGAGACAGAGAGACAGCGTGAGCAGGGGAGGGTCAGAGAGAGAGGGAGTCACAGACTGAAACAGGCTCCAGGCTCTGAGCTGGCAGTCAGCACAGAGCCCGACGCGGGGCTCGAACCTACGAATCGCGAGATCATGACCCAAGCGAAAGTCGGATGCTTAACCGACTAAGCCACCCAGGCGCCCCAGCCACATGACTTTTTAAAGTAGTAACACCAGTGTCTCTGGTTCTTATTCTCCTTTGCTTTCATAGAATATTAATTTATTAATTAGCTTTCCCCTCAAAAGTTAAGGAACTAGATTAATCCGATTGGGAACTATAGGTAACTGTTGTTACTCTGCTTGAACTAAAGAGTAATTTTAAAGAATAGCTGTTTTTGTTTCTAAAATTTTAGAGTATGACCACATGAACTTTTTTTCTTTGTAAGCGTGTCAGAAGAAAGCTGAATGCTCTAGCTTTAAGTGTTCTTAGACTTGGGACACCTGGGTGGCTTAGTCAGTTAAGGGTCTGACTCAACTCAACTCTTGGTTTCAGCTCAGGTCATGATCTCATGTTTCGTAAGTTCAAGCCCCACATTGGGCTCTAAGCTGACAGCAAGCTCGGAGCCTGCTTGGGTTTCTCTCTCCCTCTCTCTCTGCCCCATCCCTGCTTGTGTTATCTCTGTCTCTCTCAAAATAAATAAATAAACTTAAAGAAAATTTATTTTTAAAAAAGTGCTTTCAGACTCTGGGTGATGCCTGATTTTTTAGTATGTTCCTTGGATCCTCTTTCTGTACATCTTATTTTCCTTCCCTTCTTCCATCTAGCTCAGTGAATGTCCAGTGATCATTATATATGCTTCCACTTACAGTCTAAATGCTTTATAGTCCCTACGATTACCCTCTCCATACAAAATCTGTGGTCACCAGTGTTTTTCCCATGATTAAATCTAGTTTATCCTTAAAAGTTTTTCTTCTATCCTGTGGTGATAATATGCCTTTGTGTTTTGCTTCTCAGCAGTTCTCTGTTCTGTGTTACCTTCTTACTCACCCCCATCCCCGCTCCCTGTTTTGGCTCTGTGTTTGATCCCTTAAACTTCTTCTGGTTTTTTTCTTCTTTTCTATTGCCTAGGTAATGTCCTAGGTTTGAATATAGTTCTTCAGGTCAAAGGTAAGTTCTTTTTGCCCTCTTTGAATATCCAGTTTATAAAGATGAGGTAAGCTTGCAGAAACTGCGGCGCCTGGGTGGCTCAGTCACTTACACATCCAACTTCGGCTCAGGTCATGATCTCGTGGTTCATGAGTTCGAGCCCAGGGCCAGGCTTCAGCCTGAGAGCTCAGAGCCTGGAGCCTGCTTTGGATTCTATGTCTTCGTTTCTCTCTACCCACCCCCTCCCCTCAAATAAACATTAAAAAATTTAAAAGCTTTCAGAAGCATCTTTTCTATATTTTTTAGTCTGTGTGTGTATGTAATTCTGTATACATATGGAGGAGAGTAAGAGAGACAGGGAAACATATTATGTTGACCAGAGATGTCTAATATAACCACATTTGGTGACTTCAGATAGAAGGGGTGTGGTGGTCATTAGGAGTATCGCTACACCCTGTTAAATTCTACATCAAGACTTTCCCTACTATTAAATGGAAGGAATTCCCAGGTAATATTAAAGTAGTGAATATAATATGCCCTGATTATGCTTGAACTATTTCCTTTATTTTGCCTTCTTAGTGTCTCAGAAACTAGTGAAAGATCAGGGAGAAGCAAAGTACAACTTGTTTTTAATGGTTGGGTAAAGTGCACAGAACCTTGAAAGTGAAGCAGAAAAAAAAACATGGCTGTTGCTTATAGGGATGCTGTGCAAAAACGTTTTTATAAATTCTGTTAGGCACTATGGCTTAATGTGAGTTATACAATTAGTGTCACATACGGTTTCTCATTCTAAAGCTCTAAGTTTTGGATGCATCTTTATATTGATTTGTAGTTCATTTAGCTATTTTTAAGTTGATTTTAGATAGGAAGGACTTAAGCTTATTTGTAAACTGAGAAAATAGGAAAATTTTGAAAATTCAAGAGCCTGTTATTATCACTGTAGTCATAGCTTATCACAGCAGTTTCCATAAATAGGGTATTATTATTATTTCCACTGTATTATGAAGAAACAGGCTCAGAGAGATTCAGTGGCTTGCCCAAAATCACATGTCTAATTAAGTGGAAGAATAGGTTTAACTATTTCCCACAAAGTTGTCTCTAATTACTTGGTGAAGGAAAGTGAAGCTTGGACTAGGATTTTTTTTCTGCTGTAACACCTTGCCTACAATTTCACCAGGTTAAAAATTCTTCCGTTCCATGGCTTTGATAAACTGAAAACAATAACAAACAAGTGTCCTTAATACAAGTGGGTAGGGACCCTTTCAAAAAGCAAATCTAAAGAGAAAGTTTAGGATATTGAATATTTTTGTTTTTTATATTTGCTAGTATACATTTTGTAAAAGCTGATGACTGTTTTGGCTTTTTTTTTCTAAGTCTCCTCTTCAATTTTCCTTTTCCTGTCACAACAGCTTCAGGGAAGACAACGTTTGTGAATATCCTTAAACAGGTCTGTGAGGATTGGGGAGTGGTTCTTGAACCTGTTGCCAGATGGTGCAATGTTCAAAGTGCACAAGAGGACTGTGAGGTATGAAAATAAAATTAACTAAATAAAGTAAAATTCTTTTGCTTTAGAGGACCAGTAGCATTTAATCTTTTAGGTTTTGTTTGTTTTCCCTTTTCTAATAAAATTTTCAAATCTAGCTTTAAGTTTGTCTCTTCATCTTCATCTATGGATATGTATGTGTGTTGGAGGTGTGTGTGTGTGTGTGTGTGTGTGTGTGTGTGTGTGTGTGTGTAAGTAAACATTCATTGAGCCCTGACATTAAGATTTATATACTTCATTGCAGCTAAGAATTGTAAAAGTTTTTTTTAATTAATTAAAAAGTTTAAAAATATAATTGCAAATTAAATTCCTTAAGTAGCTTTTTACATTTTGTTTAAAAACAAGCAAAGAAACCAAAGGCAAAAAAACTACCCAATAACTGTTTTTTATTAGTTTACCTTTTGAGTCTTTTGTATGTATTAGAGAGAAGCATTTATCTCTTACTTGTTTGTACTTTTCATTCTTGCCAGACTTTCACCCTAGACACAACTTTCCATTTCCCAGCACTTTCCATTCTACACTGTAAATAAGAAAGAAGGAATAATAGTTAAATTTCATTTTTTATAGCAAAATTTTTATGTTGTATGTGTATGAAGGAGAGGGATCTTATTGCTAGGACTTTCATTTCTGGAGAAATGAGAATTGAACTTGCAGTAGCATAGCAGAAATCTTCAAAATGGAAATGTGTGGTAGAAACTTACTTTGTTAGAATTGAGGATAGAGGATTGAACAAAAATGTCTGTTTTTTAAGGTTTAGCTATTGGTATGAGGAATCTGGAAATAATAATTGAGTTTTTAAAATGTAAATCATTAGCAAGATATTCTGTAGACTTTGAGGTTATATGGTTTTGAGGTTATATGAGGTTATATGGTTTTGAATAACCAAAAATATTTTCTCACATACCTATTTGCCAAGCATAGTTGACTTTAATGGTGCATTTAGAACATTCCGATCCTTAGAATAATCCAGGACTAAGTCTTGAAGAACCTTCCTTTCCATATGGACTCCATTTTTTAAAAAAAATGTTTATTTATTTTGAGAGAGAGTGTATGAGTGAGCATGAGTGGGGGAGGGGCAGAGAAAAAGGGGGACAAAGTATCTGAAGTGAGCTGTGTGCTTATAGCAGAGGGCCCAGAGTAGGGCTCCAACTCACGAACTGTGAGATCATGACCTGAACCAAAGTCAGATGCTCAACTGACTGAGCCACCCAGGTACTCATGGACTCCATTTTCTTTTTTTTTAAGAAATTGATATTTCAATCTGGCCTTTGGGGGAAATGTAGGATTAGCCTTAAATAGAATTTTAAAGTGGGTGAATATGCTTTTTTCTTTCAACACTTTTTTTTGACATGATATAACTATAGAAAAGTATAGGAAACTTATGTCTAGTTTGAAGAACAGTTTGAAAGCTAACCATCAACCAGGTCAAGAAATAGAATATTACTCTCATTCTAGAAATCCCTTTTTGTCCTCAGGTCACAGTATCTCCCTGCCTAGGGTGACAACTCAGCTAGGGGTAATCATATCAAATACCTCTTGCAATAATAATTTGCTTTCTAAAAGTAATTTAATCATCTACAAACATATGACTAAGAAATAAAATTTAGTATTCCATTTTTGAATGTTACATAAATGAAATCAACTGGTTGCAGTTTTCTCCCTCTTGCTTTTTTTGCTTAGTAAGTTGATGAAATTTGTTCATTTGATGCATACAACTGTAGTTTGTACATTTTCATTGCCATAGAGTATTCAGTTGTATTCAGACATTCCAGTTTTTCCATTCTATACTTTTGATCAATTTTTTAGTGATTTCTAGTTTAGTTGTAAAAACAGCCCTCTTATGAACATGAATCCTGGTGCACACGTGCAAAAATTTCTCTAAAAATAAATAAAATCACTGGCTGGTGGGGTATTTGTGTGATGCCTGTTTTCCAAAATGGTAGTATCCAGCTTCCTAATTTTTGTCATTCTGTTAGGTGTTTAATATCTTTTATGTTTTTAATTTTATATTTCTTTGGTTGCTAATGAGATTGTGCTCCTTTACTTAATTTATTTTGCTCTTTGGATTTCTTTGGTGAAGTCCTTGTTCGGGTCCTTTTGTCATTTTCCTTTAGTTTTCTGTCTTTGCTCCATTCTGAATTTTCATCTCCCAAAGTATGTCTTGTGGCTTCTTTTTTGACTGAAGTGCCAGGCTCAGGTTTACTTACCTTTAGAAATGAGAGAGCTGTGTTCTACTGACCCCTCTTTTCCCCTCACATCTAGGGGGGTCAGCTGTTAGTGCACTTGTTCTCAAGTGTTAGTAGAAAGTAGACAAATTAAACCAATGTCAGAAATACTGAAAGGAGTCTTTCATTGGAGGAATGTCAGACTAGATTAGGCTCGTGACCTCTATTTGAGGCCCATTCTAGTTTTAGTATCATAAGCTTCTAACTCCTTTTAAATATGTATAACTGGTTCTTTGGCACTTTAAGTATCTCTCCCTTGCAGTATACATATAATTAACCTGAGATTCAGAAACTGATACATAAAAAACCAAAAGACCAAAAGTTTATTTAATTTTTTTTTTTAATTTTAGAGAGAAAGTATGTGCAAGCAGGGGAGAGTGGCAGAGGGGGAGAGAGATCCCATGACCCTGGGATCATGACCTAATTTAAACTTGAGAGTTGGATGCTCAATGGACTGAACTACCCAGGTTCCCCCCAAAAGTTTTAATTTGTAGGGAGAAGTGTAATTATCAGATTCACTAAATTAGGTCATTCTGTTCTCTATGGAGACCCATAATTCTCAACTAGTGGAAGAAACCCTTAAGAATCTCAAAGTTTTGGGATGCTATATAAAATGACAAACAGTGCCTTAGGAATTTTAATATGTGGGATGCCTCCTATTTAAAAATGACTACCCTAGCGAATCATTGTTAATGTTGGGATTATGTTGACCCCTTTAGTTATATTGGGGAAGAGAGGTTGAAAACATTGCATTAATATATATAGGAAGGCAAATTTACAGTAAGCCAACTTGTCTATTAAGCTTAGAATCAGAGCCCGGGGTAATTAGTTATATTATCTTACTAACTGATGTCATCAGACTGACACACTGATGCATCTGTCTGTATTTTAAGACTCTTGGTTTCATGGATCTGATGCTCATGTGTATGGGCAGGGGCACTTTCTTCCCATGTACTAGAGTCAGAATTCCAAACTGACCTTTATAACTCTGTTGATAATTCTATTATTAACATAGAGTTTCATCATACAGTTTACTGTAATCTAGTCATGTCTCCATGATGTTACAATTTGATTACGTTAATTGGGTTTGGGTGCACATTTTTGGAGGATAGCTTTATATTTGTATATGTATTGGAGTCTATTTATGTTCTTAGTGCTTTGTACTTCTAGGGACATTTCAGACAGTGTGGGGATGGTATTTGGGGGATAAGGTTGTGGAATGTGAGGATAGTGGTGGGTGGGTTCCCTGTATCTTTGGATATTTTCTTCTTTTCTCCCAGACTTCTACTAAACTCAAGAAATGGGATTTTCTTCTTGCATCTTGGAACTTTTCTTCTACAGACCCATTTCTGATCTATTTCTTGAGGTTATAGTGTGAATCACCAACTGTCCAAATCTGTTTTCTTAAAAGGCTGTCAATAGTGAGAAGTAGATTAGAAACCAGGACAAGGCCAGTCCTACTTTGGATGTTCTACATTTAATCACACTTCTCGGCAGTTGCTGTAGAGTTGGAAGAGTTGGGTTATTGGCACCTTTGATCTCTTCCCCTAGTTAGTAACTTAATTTGCACCTGCATGCTATGCATGCTTTTTTTTTTAGCTGTTTTATTTTTTTTACCTGCCATCTAGTGGCTGAAATGTTGCTATACTGTTGATAAGCTGCACCAATTTTAGCAAAATAATGAGGCAAAGTACCTAAAAGGTTATGTAGTCTCCCCTTCCCCCTTCCCTCTTATGATAAGATTATCTTTAAAGGAACCACTCAGATGATTATTAATCTTTGAATTGAAGGTTTATTTCAAATAATCATTTATTTGGTGGTTTATATTATTTCAGCCAAAAGCTTTATTTTAATTGCTTTCCTTTAGCTTATTTTTGAGATGGACAAACTTAGAGACATGTCTCTGCTGTGTCCTGTTTTTCTTATCAAGGTGAAATCCTAGGGGATCTTTGTTATTAATTGTCAAGTACTATTTGACTTTTATCCACTTCATACAACTAAGAAGCCACTGAAAAATTAGAACTGTGATAAAGGGGTAAAATATCCTTTTTTTTCAAATAACAGCATTTTTTAATAAGTCATTCTTGAAAATTAATTAGGAATGCTTGATAAAGTATTTCTATTCATACCTTCTGGGATCCCTTGATAACTTTTGTTGGCCGTGTCATGATTATCTTGTTTGGTAGATTCTAATCTTTTTTGGTTGAACTTAATTCACCTCTTTTGCAATGTTACAAAGGTTTGGTTAGAATTAAAAGATCAATGATTTTGTATCTTTACTTGATATTTCTGTTTTTCATTTATCTTGACAATAATTTGTGCTTTCTGCAAAATAATGAAGTATTCTATCATGAAGTGAGTTACAGAATTACAGATATGAATAAAAGTGATCCATAATCCCACTACCCATATATATGAGATAATAATTTACTATTTCCAATTTTGGCACTTGGGCGGGCTACATAATTTTTTAAAATGTTATACAGTAATACATGTTCATTGTTGGAACTTAAAATATCATAGATTACCAAAGGAAGGAAATAAAACTTACCTATAACCTTATTTCCCAGAGTAGAGATCTTATTTGGCACAGCAGTATATGATTTTGTATTTTTCTTTTTTCCTTCTATGTTTATATCAAAAGCAATTAAAAGTTCATTAAAAGTTTACTATAAACAATTCCAAGGGCGTCCTAATTTATTGTGTGCATGTACTAATGTTTACATAATATAAATGCCTAATAATAATGGAACGATA